AAGGGGCATAATATTCGGGGGAGGCGGAGGCGGGGCGACGGCGGTCGGAGGCTGCGGCGGGGCTGGGCTGGGCGACGATCGGCGGATCGGCGGCTGGGCGGGGCGACGATCGTCTTCTCTCTCTCTCTCTCTCTCCCCGCTAGCCGGGGCGACGATCGTCTTCTCTCTCTCTTCCCTTCTGCTTTTCTCTTTCTCTCCCTCTACTTCTCTCTGCGTCTTCTCCCTCGAGCCATTCGGGGCAAAATGTTTCGAGCTACGAAACATTTCCCATTTTTTTTTTCTTTTTTCACTGACATGTAGTTCCCTCTTCACTAATTTACAATAATTATTTTTTAAGAATACCTTTGATATTGTTTCGGTTATCAGATAGGGTAACTTACACTTTATCATTTGAATTTCACCCCGTTTCCACTTTGGTCCTTTAAGTTTGATTTTTTTTACTTTGGCACTTCATGTTTGCAATCTTTTTCACTTTGGCCTTTGAAGTTTGATTTTTCTCACTTTAGCCCTGTATGTTTGCAATCCTTTGCACTTTTGCCCTTTAAGTTTGATTTTTCCTACTTTGGTCCTTAAAGTTTGATCTTTTCTACTTTGGCCATTCATATTTGCAATCATTCTTACCTTATTCCTAGACTAACTTCTATCCAAATAACTAATAGAATCTACAACAATATCAACATAACAGCTCTACGTATGATGTAAAAAATTTATTAAAAATGCAAAAAAATGTATATGTAATTTTTTTTGTTTTTAATTTTTAATTTTTTGCATTTTTAATAAATTTGTTATATCACACATCGAGTTGATGTGTTAGTATTAGCTTTTTTGATGGAAGTTGCTTTAAAAATAAAGTGGGAATGATTACAAATATGAAGGGTCAAAGTAGAAAATATTGTAAAGATAAAGGGTTAAAGTGAAAAAAATCAAACTTAAAAGGCTAAAATAGGATAGATTACAAACATAAAACGTCAAGTAAGAAAAATTAAATTTAAAAGGTTAAAGTGAAAAATAGATGAAATTTTAGGGAGGCAAAGAGTAATTTACCCTTTCAAATAGGGTCATTGTCATCCGTCAGATTTATCCACATGCATGGGGATCTTCAAAACATTTGTCTTTATGTGGCGACTGACTGTGACCTCGTGAACCGTATATTAGTACAATTTAGAGATTATTTTAGATGACTTAAATAAATATATTTTTTTATTTTTTATCAAAAGATATATAGAAAAATAGAGAGGTGATGTGATAAAAAAAAAATAAAACGATAAATTATCCTGTATACGTCAAACTTGGCCTGAATTTCCCTTCGTTCAGTCTAACTTGCGCCGCGTACGACCATGTCATGCTTTTTACTCCACGATATAGGAACAACAATGATAGAGGGCCCTAATTTCTGTGGCTCAAATGGCTCGAATTTGTCAAAACGACGTCGTTTTGAGTACAAAACAACATCAAAATTGTCAAAACGACGTCGTTTTGGCAAATTTGAACCATTTGAGCCACAGAAATTAGGGCCCTCAAACATTTTCCATACAGGAATGTAACAATAACACATTTTAAATGATAGCGAGGTAAGTGAATATAGTTATATCTTTTTACTATAATAATTTAATTATTAATTTACTAATGTTTACTAATGTTTATTTGTAATAGAGTTATATCTTTTTACTATAATAATTTAATTATAATTTACTAATGTTTATTTGTATGATAAAAATATATATAATAAATAAGAATAAACTGGTTTAAACTAATGTAAATATTATAAAAATACAAAAATAAAATATAAATTTTAATATAAAAGTGATAAAAATATTAGCATGCGTTTGGTTGTGTTTTGTAAATGTAATTTGAGAGTATGAGTTATATTTTGAGTTTGTGTGTTGTAAAATTATAATTTGAGTGTAGAAAATTTGTTTGGTAAAGAGTTTTGAAAATAGTTTTAGAAAAGAGGTTTGATTTGAGTGGGGAATTGTTGATGTGACATTTGATATACGATACAAAAATTTACAACTCATAACTAAACATACAATTCAAAATTATTTTAAAGCACATAAAAAATTTAAAAAATTCCAGAAAATATTTTTTCCGATTATATAAATCAATTGCAAAAAAATAAAATAAAATAAATTCCGGTCAACCGGCCGGATGTCCCGCAAAGCCAAATTTTGTAAATGTGGAAAGAAACAACGCTTCTGTCATAACAGATGTTCTGTGCAGAGTTTTGTAATTAACGTTTTAGACCATTAACCAAACACCATTGTGGAATTAAGGTGTAGAATCACCATTTCAGTTCACAACCAAACAGAGCCTTAATTATTTTTAATGACTGAAGTTTTTTTTTTTTAGTGGTTGTCATATGCATTAAATTTGTTACTAACATTAACTTTCTCCTAAAAAATAGAAGTAACAATATATATATATATATATATATTTAAGTTGTGTTTGGTTTTGACTTTTTGGCTAAACAAAATACAAAAGATAAAATTGGTTATATAAGTCAATAAGACAAAATGTCACATCTCCAAACCATAATCATTACACTTTTTCTCTCAAAAAAGTCAAAAATAAGAACCGAACGAGACTAAAAAAGCCAAGCTAAAATAGCCAAAAAGTCAAAAAATTGGCTATTTTAGCTCTTTCCAAACGAAAACTTATTATTTTTTTTTTTTGCAATTTAGTGTATGTTTAAAAAAAAATTCAAATTAATAATAAATTTTATCAGCTGTAATAATTTAATTTTATAAATTCTTTATGGAAACACTTGATTTGCAATTTTTTTGAAAAAAAAAAAAAGTCATTGCCAAATATTGGGGTTGTTTGGTAGCACTTAAAAGCAGCTTAAAACTGCTTGCTTAAATTAAGTCATTTTGATGTGTTTGGTAAAACTTAAAGGGATAGATTATAACTTTTATTAAGCTATTTTCAGCTTAAATTTATAAACACCTCAGGGGGTGCTTCTTGATTCAGCTTATACGGTAAGCTGAAATGGGAGATGTAAAATGACTTAAATGCCCTTCCTAATTGATGCTAATTTCAAGTGTGTCATGTATATAAACCATTTCTCACTCATTCTTCCTCTCTCACACAAACGAGAGGGGGCGATTTCTGGCGAGCTAAGGCGATTTCCGGCGAGCATTTCGGCGATCAAGCTCTATCTCTTCTCTCTCTCTCTCTCTCCCCATTGTTCTCTGATCGCTCTCCATCGCGATTTTCAACCATCACGATTTGAACCATCTTGATCGACAGCGTGAACCTGTCTGTCTCCCTCTTCGCGATCGACGCCGACGATGAGATGAGAATGAGGAGATCTGAACCATCGCAATTTGGACCATCCCGATCTGAACCATTACGATCGATGCCTGCAGTGAGATGAGGAGGAGGAGGAGGAGAAGAAGAAGAAGTAGGGGTTGCCGGTGGGATGAACCATCGCGATTTGAACCCTAGCTCTCTCTCGCTCTTTCTGTGGATCTGAAGCAAACCCTAGCGCCAGTTCCTCCTGCGTGGAGCTAGGGTTTTCATTATTATTATTATTATTATTATTATTATTTGAGGTTTTTCAGTGTTTTTTTAATAAAAAAAGTAAAATAATTAATGAATAAAAAATAATGATTGATGCTAATTAATTGAGACTAATTAATTTAAAATGAAAAAATGAAAAAAATTTATACGTAATTGATGGAAAAATTAATAATAATTGATAATATTAATATATGTAATTTATGTAATAATTGATGAAAAAAAATAATATTGATGAATATATGTAATTTATATTAATTGATGGAAAAATTGATACATTAATATAAATTGATGAATATATGTAAATTGAAATATTACTAAAAATAATTAAAATGATACATTAATATAAATTGATGACTATATGTAAATTGATAAATTAATATTAATTGATACATTAATATAAAGAATAATAATGGTACATTAATATAAAGAAAAAATGAAATATTACTAAAAATAATTAAAATGATACATTAATATAAATTGATGACTATATGTAAATTGATAAATTAATATAAATTGATACATTAATATAAAGAATAATAATGATACATTAATAATGATACATTACTATAAAGAAAAAATGAGATATTACTAAAAATAATTAAAATGAATAATAATAATAATAATAATAATAATAAATGGTCGCAAACGGGTCATGATTCAATCAACTGGGTCCATAATGAATGGAGTTAATAATTTAAAATAAATCTCCAACTAAGATTAAAGTATAAATCAATTTTAAAAGACTTAAATTGTAATAACCCGACCCTCGTATGTGTTTCTGGTATACTCTCGGTCCCCTATTCTGTGAATTTAAATGTTTATTGTGAAATTTTATGTGAAATTGGGTTAATTAAGTGAATCTTATGGTTATAGATTCTTATCTGTCTAATGAAAGGAGTTTTTGTTACAACCGTAATGTTTGGATCAGGAATTGGAAACCTTAGAGACGTAATTATCTGAAATTTAAAAGAATTGGGTTGTGATTGATTATGGTTATGGATGCAAAATGAATAAGGATCTAGGCAAGTTTATAAGTAATCTTTATGTGGTTTTGAGTTATATTCTTGCGCTAAATTTACCTATTTTAAGCCTTGCTATATGTCCCTACCAAGAGGAGTTTTGCAGGAAATTTTGGACTGCACTGGACAGAATCGTCGCATATCCGTTCAAGAGGCCAAAAATGGTCCATTTGCTACTCACAAGTAGGCTAAAATACGGATTTCAACGAAATATCCCAACTCAGGCAACCCAACCTTCACCTATTGGCGACTAAAAAGTTGGTCGTTAAAGAGCTATTTTTTGCCACTAAAAAAATTTTAGTCGCCAATACCTCCAGCGACCATATATATGCGACAAAAGGGGCGACTAAAAAAATTAGTCGCTACAAGTAAAAACTCGACTTTCGACGACTAAAAACGAACTTTTGGCGACTAAAAATTAATCGCCAAAAATGTTTTTTCTTGTAGTGGAAACAACAACACCAGGAAGAAGAATCACAAGAAACCCACTTTGGTGATTGCTTGTAGAGAGCTTTTGAGGGGTGCAACAATGGTGATGGAAGGTCTCCAAGAAGATATGGGTGATGGAAACATGCAATGTAGAAACCACCCTTACAAAAACAACTCACCAGGTGGGATCTGTGCTTTTTGCCTACAAGAAAAGCTTGGAAAACTAGTCTCCTCCTCTTTCCCCATAGCCGTCTTCCCTTCTTCTTCCTCATCTTCATCTCCTTCCTTCAGATCTGACTTCGGTGGTGGATCCACATCGACCCTCTCTGTTCGACCCAACCACCCATCATCGTCATCTTCCTCATCAACCAACAACACCATCAACAACAATGACTGTCACTACCATCAGTATTACTCGAGGCGATCTCGAATACCCTTTCTTCTCACCCACAAGAAGACTAAGAAGAAGAAAGACCTCACTCTCGCTGGTGGTGATTCGTCTACAGACCAATCTAGCATTGTTTTCAAGCGAAGCAAGTCCACCACCACTCCACGGCGAGGGGTTCGTTTCATGGAAGCGGACGAGGACAGCCCTCGGAGAAGAGGGTTCTGGTCGTTTCTGTATCAATCGAAGCACTCTCGTAATCGTAGAATCGATAATCATTGTAAAGAGATTTGCTACGCATCGTCTTCAACAATGGGGGCTTCTTCTATATTAAATTTTTTTTAATACATTTTTGTAATACAAAAGTTTGAATTACACTGTCAGTCGCACTGCCCCAGCAGGAAGGCAGGTCAAACACATTTTGGGCAAAAAAAAAAAAAAAAATTACATATGTAAAGTTACAAAGTTTGATGGTAATGTTGGGTCCTTGGAAACCCACTAAGGGTTCCGTTTTGATAATCCGAACCGTATGTAGAACTCGTTAAGTACTATATGCATGTGAAAAATCATGTTGATCGGATATCGTTAACTGTATGATCAAATCAGTTTTGTATAAACAAAACGGATGGTGTAATAGTTAACTGTTGAACAAAAACTAATCCGATCATATAGCCATCGATATCCGATCAACGTGATTTTTTACAAGCATATAATACTCGATGAGTTGTACATATTGAACAGTTTAGATTATTAAAATAAGACCCGTGGTAGCTCCCACTGACCAACGATCACTATCCAAACACTTTGTCCCGAATGAGACAATAATTTGCTATGTAACACATGCTACTCAGCAGGACAATCGTATAACCTACTCAATTTTCTTCTCCTATACATTTTATTTATACAATTTTTTATTACATATTTTTTTGTAAAAAAACAAAATATTAATCCAAATATTTATATTTTTTTCCTCAACTTTTTAATTAAAAAATATAAAAAGTGCACAGACACCCCAAACAATCCCTTGGTTCGTCTGATTTAGTTCGTGGATTAAGCCCGTTTAAGCCCATCTTGTTAGGTAAGGTTTTGTCTTAAGATCTTTAGCATCCGTTTGAAAAGTGGATTGACTTTTGATTTTTTAAATTTTTTAATTATTTTAACTTGGACTAAAAAGTTTGGTTTAGAAAGAATTTTTTAATTTTTTTACTGCTTTAGTTTTTTTTTAAAAGAAAAATATAATAATTATAAATTAAATGTAATATTTTATTTATTGTGATTAAAATAACTTATTTTATTTTTTTTAATGACTATTTTACCCGCAAAATAACTTGCCAAAGTCTTGATCGAGTTTAGCCTGCATCGTAAAAAAACACCTGCAAAACTCAGGGCATGATTAAAGCTTGGACACCAATTCCGTAACCTACATTTATAGAATGGAGAAATTAACTTTTTGTGTAAGTTTTAAAAAAAAAAATACAAATAGGTGGAATAATTTATCAATTTTAATAATTATAATTATAATTTCTTTCATAAATATAATTTATTTACAAATTTTTCTTATAAAATTTATTAATTTATATAATTTTATTTTCTTAAAAAAAAATCAGTATTATTATTAATCTATCCACGTGCACGCACGGGGACTCTCCCCATAGCCCCCACCATCACTACCATCACAATTCAATGCCTAATCTATCTAGATATTCATTCGCAATCGTTTGACGCTTTGCTCTCTCTCTCTCTCTCTCTCTCTGTGTTCTAATCCTTTTCTGTTTCTGTTTTTGAGCCATTTCAACAAACACTTGGAGGTCGTGTTCAACGGTATGAAACCACAAACACCGTCAAGAGCAACAAGAAGAACAAGAAACCCACTTTGGTGATTGCTTGTAGAGAGCTTTTGAGGGGTGCAACAATGGTGATGGAAGGTCTCCAAGAAGATATGGGTGATGGAAACATGCAATGTAGAAACCACCCTTACAAAAACAACTCACCAGGTGGGATCTGTGCTTTTTGCCTACAAGAAAAGCTTGGAAAACTAGTCTCCTCCTCTTTCCCCATAGCCGTCTTCCCTTCTTCTTCCTCATCTTCATCTCCTTCCTTCAGATCTGACTTCGGTGGTGGATCCACATCGACCCTCTCTGTTCGACCCAACCACCCATCATCGTCATCTTCCTCATCAACCAACAACACCATCAACAACAATGACTGTCACTACCATCAGTATTACTCGAGGCGATCTCGAATACCCTTTCTTCTCACCCACAAGAAGACTAAGAAGAAGAAAGACCTCACTCTCGCTGGTGGTGATTCGTCTACAGACCAATCTAGCATTGTTTTCAAGCGAAGCAAGTCCACCACCACTCCACGGCGAGGGGTTCGTTTCATGGAAGCGGACGAGGACAGCCCTCGGAGAAGAGGGTTCTGGTCGTTTCTGTATCAATCGAAGCACTCTCGTAATCGTAGAATCGATAATCATTGTAAAGAGATTTGCTACGCATCGTCTTCAACAATGGGGGCTTCTTCAAATGGGTCTTTCTCGCAGAGATCGGCGAAGAAGAGAGAGGAGGTTGTGGTGGTGGAGGAGAATGAGAGCCCTGATCAAGCAGCGTTTGATCGGAAAGTTTCCAGATCTAGATCGGTTGGGTGTGGAAGTAGGAGCTTTTCCGGGGACTTTTTCGAGCGAATCTCAACTGGGTTTGGGGACTGTACTCTCCGGCGAGTCGAGTCTCAGAGGGAAGGCAAGCCTAAGGTCACCCCTCTCCACCGCGGCGGAGGACAGGATTGTATGAAAGAGAGAGTCAAGTGCGGTGGGATTTTTAGTGGGTTCATGATCACTTCTTCTTCCTCCTCATCTTCTTCATCTTCTTACTGGGTTTCATCTTCAGCTGAAGATAACAATCATATGAGTGGCAAGGCGGCTGCACCAGCGAGGCATCTTTCTCATGGGAGGAGTAAGAGTTGGGGATGGGCATTTGCGAGTCCAATTAGAGCTTTGAGTAAGCCTTCTTCAACTGGGAAGAGAGAGGGTTCTAATAAGAACACCACCAACACCACCCCCAACCTCAATGCCATTCCTTCTCTGTTGGCTGTGGGAGGCTAAAGATATGCTTTTTGAGTTTGCTCATTAGCTTAAACCTTTAAAGTAAACATTACAACCTTGTTTTACCTGTGTATTTCTCTCTATATCTCTCTTTTGTATTTGTCTGTGTTTTGTGTCTGTCTCCTTAGCCTGTGTTTGGTACACTTTCTAAGTTGTTCTTTTATCAATTTGGTGTCTTTTTGGTTTGGTTCAATCCTGGATTCCAATTCTAAGATGGGTTTATGAGGTTGATGCAATTAAACAATTGGGTGCAAATGGGTTTTCAAATTCCCTGTTTATTACACAATTGAGTCTCAGCATGGATCACTGCCCTTAAGTCTTTTGGTCTCTCTTGTTCAAAATATTGTTTTGAGATTATTGCACTTCAAGATTTTCAATGATTCAGGTTAGAAGTCTTTCGGGACATGGAGACAAAAAGATTTGGGAACATATTCTTGGCCTTCAGTCTCCTGTGATTGAGAGAAAAATTGAAACAGAATAGAACGACAGATGATCCTCCATACTGGATGAATTGATCTAAATTGTGCCACCAATTGTCTTTGATCTTTGTTGCATAAAATCTTATGGGTTGGTCCAAGTGTGTCTAAACCTTTTGTTTGGCCTTGCTTGATTGGAAACAAATCTTGATCATATTAGTCTTTTAAGTAATTAATTAGTCTTTGTGATCAGCTTATAGGAATTGTGTGATGCAATGAATTTGTAATTTTTGCACTGTTTCTTTTGTTAGTTGTAACTTTCATGTTAATGCAAAAAGAGATTCTGTTAATATATTATATGTTGTGAACAAGTTACAACTTTGCATGTTACACACAGTGATTCTTGCTTGATGCTTTGTATTTGACTCCATATATATACATGGTCCCTATCTCTTGATTAATGATATGATGGCCTAACTTTTATACACAAAATATTGTGAACTTTGTAGTGACTTTTATGTACGTAGTTGTAAATTGTGGCCTTGTAGATCTTTTAATGTCTCAATCTTTTAGTTGCAACTTTTTCGTTCTTTTTCTTTTGTAATGGTTGGTGTCCGTCTCCCCTCCCCTACTTGCAGTACATCTAATCACTCACAAATTATGTGCATCAATTAGACTCGTACTGTCTCACTAGGGATTGAGCCGAACCTAAGGTGTCCGTATTTATAATAACTATTGAACTATCCGTAGGCAAAAGGAGATCTATTACATACTAGAAGGGTACGAACCTAATATGTGTAGGAAATTGTGGTATAGAGAAAAGAGAATTGTTTGGGATGTTGGCTTAATAATTTTACTTTTTAGTCCTTGTAGTAATTGCTAGGCAATGTAAGTATTTAGAGAAAAAAAATAGTATTGTGGGTTTTTGAGAATAAAATTGTGACCAATTTGTTCATAGCAAGTGAATTGTGTATTTTATATAAGATTTTTATTAATATATATTTTTAGAACACATGTTAAAATGCGGAAAAAGATTATATATCTTGCTTGAAAGTAAAGGATTGTTTGGGGTGTCCTAAATAAGTGCATTTTTTTGACTTTTTATGAACTATTGGTTGGATATGGGTTGGGTTTGAAGTAATGTGATAGAGAGGTGATGTGACTTAAATAAAATGATATGACTCAAATAGGATAGTAATTTTTTGACTTTTTAAATTTTTTTAAGAATGCCAAACTTGGCCTAAGTATAACAAAGAATGTGTAATATTTAAGTCTCTTAATAAAAAATTAAAAAAAAAACCTTTATATATAATAAGAGATTATATTTGTGAACTTGCGTGTACATAAAGGGGTTCATGATTGAAGATTTGTATGTAGGCATGTATCTATGTATGGTCCCTATCTTTTGATTCATGATATAATGGTCTAACTTTTATGCACAACAAGATTGTGAACTTGGTAGTGACTTTTTGTGCCACAAAGTGGTGAATTGTGGGCTTACGTAGATCCTCCCTCCCTCAATGTCTCAATCCAGGAGTCTTTCTAGTGTCTCTTTGTATGCATGTATGATGCTCTACTTTTTCTAGCTGGCCTAAAATTATAAAAAATAACAATGACTTTGCCAAGCATCCCAAGTCACTAGCATGTGCATGACTCATTGGTAACAACTAATCATTGTCTTAAAGAAAAAGAACAGAAATTTTGAGGATGAGAGATTGAAGAATCACTCTCAAGTTTCAGTCAAAGGAAGGTGCACATGTTTGGTGGGACCATGTCAAAACTCACACATCTAATTCATGGGGGGGGGTACCCTCCCAAACAGTACTTAAAGCCAGGCTGGGTGAAGAACAAGATGTCTCTCCTTTGGGCCGTAAGGTGCAATTATATATATATATATAATATTTTTAATAAATTAAAAGCAAATAATCAGAGTCAGAAGTTAAATACTTCTCTACCTGCTTCTCGAACAATTTCTCTGTGTCATTTTTGTTTTTTGTTTTTGTGTTTTCAAGTTTTGAAAAGCACATTAGTCAATTGAATTTCATTTGCGAGGAAAGTTGTGGGCCCAAAAGTGTTGTGGGTACGCAACTCCTCTTGATTGGAGAAGAGTTCGATTTTTCTGATTTTTTTCTTTTTTTTTTTTGGGGGTGGTACAACATGCTCAAAAACAGATTACTCACGGGCTCTAGGGTGCAATTTGAATGGGTTCAAAGTGAGGAATCCGAATTCAGGTTTGAATTTTTTTTACGATTTGAATAAGATTGGACAAAATTTTAGAAATTTAAATTAAATTTGGACAGGTTTAGGTAAAGACGTCAAATAATTTGAACTACCTGAAATTTGGATTAAATGTATAAAAATATTAAATATACATATAAATTATTAGTCATTACATGATATTAAAGTAATTTAAATTATTAAATCATATTAAATATATATTATATATACAAATAACATAAAAAATTTTATTTTTACTTTTATTTTCAATCATAAATTGTAAAGACTTTTATAGCGACATCTTTCTTACATTATATAAAAGAAAATTTATTAGTAATTTTTTTTTCAATGGTTTGCATCCCAATTAGTTTATAAGATATTCTAATAAGTTTTATTATTTGAACATTTGATCTAACAAATCATAATTCTTATATTTGAAATATTTTATGGACATTTCTATCTTTATAAATATTTTTTGAACGGTTAGTAATTTAGTGATGTGAACATTTATTTTTTTTTAGAGAAATGATTTTTTTTCAACGATAGTCTATAGACCTAGAAAATAAATATTTTGAATAATCACAATTAAGCTCCTGATGGCATGAACCCAAAACTATCTAGTTCAGCAACACAAATTTTTAACTTTTTCCTTTACTTTCTATTTGATCGGATCAAAAAGAAATTTTGGGACTGTTTCGTTCTCCATATGACTGGAGACAAACCAACTTCTTTATAAAACTATTTTTGCATAGAAATAAAAATGATGAATGTTTTCAACTTTATATTGCTTTTGTTTCTAAAAACAAAGAAAATGAAAATGACAACAATACCAATTAAGTGAAACTTTCTAGTAGTAAGATTGAAAGATCAAGTTCATAGCACCTGGCCAGTTTAGCCCTGAGAGTGAATAATTAGATTTTTCAAGCATTCTGAAAAGACATGGAATTAAAATATACATGATCTAAAATTCATTTAATTTCATTTCTACTAAGGTGATGATATAAAATTCACAATTCATTTGTTGGACACTTTAAAACTGAAGCAGAAGATGCCTTATTTTCTCTCTCGGAATTCTCGTCTTGTTTTGGGTGAGGATATAAAAATTTTGAAAATGAAAGTCTAAAATTCATTAAAAATGACAACAATACCAATTAAGTGAGACTTTCTAGTAGTAAGATTGAAAGATCAAGTTCATAGCACCTGGCCAGTTTAGCCCTGAGAGTGAATAATTAGATTTTTCAAGCATTCTGAAAAGACATGGAATTAAAATATACATGATCTAAAATTCATTTAATTTCATTTCTACTAAGGTGATGATATAAAATTCACAGTTCATTTGTTGGACACTTTAAAACTGAAGTAGAAGAAGCCTTATTTTCTCTTTCGGATTTCTCGTCTTGTTTTAGGTGAGGATATAAAAATTTTGAAAATGAAAGTCCAAAATTCATTAGGAAATTTATGCTGTGTTTGGTTGAAAAAATTGGAAAGAAAAATAAAAAAGATAAGTAAAATGTGAATAAAACATGCTTATATTTCACATAATTTCACACACGTTTACCCTTTCCCTTTCCAATTTCCTTCCTAAATCTCCCAACCAAACATAGCATTTCAAATCCATTTTCAAATCTCCCAACCAAACACAGCATTAAGGAAAATAAATAATCAACGCTGGTACATATATACACATGATGACATGAGGGGCAGAGTAGCAAAAAGACATGGACAAAAAAAAGGCTGTTTTGAAAGACTGTTAGTGGCTCAGAACATGATGAATGGGGCTCAAAGGTCTTGTACTTTAGAACCCCACGAGGCAAATGTATGGACAACCACTACAGTCTACACTTTTATTACATCATTTGAGGGAGGGGGAGGGGGAGGGGGAGGGGAAATTAGGTCAGATTCAAAATCATCATGTCAATTTTGATATTGATTAATAATGACTGATCAAATTAAAAAAACATGAGGCCAAAAGATGAACATCAAGCTAAGATCAAAATTGAGATGATGGCCTCGAACTATATAAAAAGGACTGGGAGGAGAAAGGGCCTTGTGGAGGTGGAGAAACTTTTTCAGATACGGTGAAAAAGAAAAAATGAAAAAAAAGCAGCTCTTCGATGAGGTTCTCTCATAATAGGAGTAAATTAAGTTGTACAGAAAGTAAAGTTTGGTTATGGCCTTTCACTGTCACCATTAATCTCTCACAGTGGTATCTACTTCGGCCTTTAGCGTCAGAGAAGTGGTGGGCTTGAGGGCCCATGTACTATACTTCTAAGTTGTCTTCATGGTTTGGAAGAATAATACAAGCAATGTGAGGGCAATTTGATAATTATGTAATAGTGGCTCCAATGGAATTGTTATTTCATTTGTCATAACAACTATAATATCAGCTGGGTGCTGAAACGGAGTTGTCAAATTTGGACATTGATATCTTTGTGTCAAATTTGGCCCAAATTTTAACAGATTATCTACATAATCACTTCTTTTTTTAAACTCTTATTCAAGTTACTTTGTTATTTTGTCTGATAAGCTGTAAAGAGAAATTGTACCAAATAATATGACATGAACTCTCACAATAAATATTAAAAAAACGGTTATAAATAACTCGTATAATTTCCACTAAACAACCATTAAGCTAATACTTTCTTCCATCTACAACCTAGTATTGTATCTCACACATGAAAAGACAACAGTGTTTATCAAGCTAACACTCACCTTATGTACAATAATCATGTCTTAAATGTGGAGAAACAAACACATTGACTTGGACATAGAGCATGAAAACAAGCAAAGCAAAGTGCACAATGATATAGAGATATTAGGAAATGACCTAACAATATATATTAATCAAAAATCAAAAATTAAAAAAATTAATAAACTAACACTCTCGCATGCAAACTCTTCTCCCACAATGCGCAATTCTATCTCGCATCTCACACGTGCAGAAATAACAATATTACTTATCAAGCTAACTCTTCCATGATTTACAACCATGCATGTGGAGAGACAAACATATACTAACTTAGGCAAAGTACAATTATACAAATTAAATAAAGTGCACAATGATATAGAGATAATAGAACGACAAAACTCAAACTTAAAATCTCTTTGATTCCATGTTAAATCACTTTCTAATATCTCAAAACATCATGAAAGACACCTAACATTATATATATAGAGAGAGAGAAAGATGAAATATTAGATTCAACCCTACATACTCAAAGCAGATGCCCAGATTCAATGCCTCAATAGCATTATTTGATTAGTGGATGGGTCCTCAAGCCATTGTGCAGTCGATTCATTATCCTTTTTCTATGTATTCATTCATACCCCTGTGAATCAGCCATTGGTGGAGGACAAGTAGCAAGAGGCTATAAAGCTGTGTAATAAAAATTTGGCCCACTTCAATTTGAAAATTGGATCAGTTATGCTATGTTTGGTTAGGAGATTTGGGAAGGATTTAGAAAGAGAAATGAAAAAGGTGTGTGAAACTATGTGAAATGTAGGTATATTTTATTCACATTTCACCTTATTTTTCCCTTTCCCTTTCCAAATCCCTTCTCAAATCTCCCAACCAAACACAGCGTTAAGGAATGAGTGGCAGTGGTGGAGGTTTAGCCTTTGTCTGGATGTGAATATATAATAATCCTATGCTATATCAAATTACAGTCAAGCTTTATACTGTGTTTTTTCTTGTTATGTAACTTCCTCCATGCGAGGACCTCAATCAACTTTGTTTCTTTCTCATTATCAGAGAACCACATTATGATCTTAGGCATGAAAAATGTAAGGTGCTTTGTTGTGCAAAGTGAGAATCTAGATCAGAGGACAGGAGAGATTTTTAATCTGTTTTGTTGTCTTGTGATTAAAATCTCAACTAAAGTGTTAGCGTTGTGTTTGAATCTTAAGTTTGTGAGAAATTTTACTCTATTTAAAAAAAAAAAAAAAAAACAATACTATGGTGATACCACATTATCACCAACACATAGTATCACTATCTAATAACAAATTATCATGTGAACATAATAAACTCCACTATATATATGTGGCAATTACAAAATTAACTTAGAACATAAAATTACATCTCAATAACGAGGTTAACTATCCCATGTGTAATTTCATTATCGGTTAGTGTCAATGATGACGTTAAAAGCTGCAAAAATGTTTCACATTTAATTGAAAGCTGTTCAATATTTGCTAAGTTAGCTTAGCAACAAGCCATTTCCAAGTTGTGGAAAAAAAAAATGTAAGAGAGAGAGAGAGAGAGAGACCTGTAATTTCAAAGTTATTGACAACCTACATATTTCACTGTGTTATCTGAGAACTCAAGTTCTCGAAATCAATGTCTCCCATTCCTGTATCTTCCTCTTCTTCACTGTCTTCATCTCCACTAGCTTCATTCTCACCAAGCTGAGCCATGTGTTCAGCAGCCAATTTATCCTCCCGTTCACTCACCTAAATTAATGCAACATATTGAATATAGACACATACAGAGAGAGTGAATCTCCCGAGTGTTCAAGCAAAAGCAAAGAAAGACATACCAGTCGGCCCTCTTATAATTGATATCGTAGAACTCAATAATTTTGATCAACTTCATAAATTTTTAAGAAATCAACTTCGTTCTATATGTATAATCAATAATTTATTACTTAGTAATTAATTTTAAAATGTTCTTTTATTATTAGAGTACAAAATAAAACTAACCATAAGTAATAAACAAGGGGATTAAGAGCCTTCATAGACAAAAGATTTAATATGATACATATATTGTTTTGTAGGAGAAATGTGTTGCCTTAACAAATAATGCATGCAAGTTCTATTTTTATACTGAATCATAAAACTGTGAAGAAACTTTTTCATATTGATAGAATACAGAAACTTAGTATTTACAATTTTTTTTTTTTTCCCTCCTGAGATTATAAATTATTAGTAGGCCTATTGTGCTCGACATCCACAAGAGAACAATGACAGAATTAAGGGACATAAATTCAACACTCACCGTTCTAGGTGCTACTTTCACAGTAAGTTTCCCATTGTGGCGGTCTATTTCTTCAGTGCAAGCTGCAATTGCTTTATTAAGAATTGATATCCCCCGTTCCTGCCCCAATCAAATCAAAGGATAAAATTTCATGAGAAAATTGCAAACTTAGGTTTTTACAAACTTACGAGATCAATGACTGAGAAGATTAATAGAGCTGACAAAAAAAAATCACACAGCACTAGAAAAACAATCTTTGTTAATAAATAAATCTTAAAATGAAATGATATAATTTCTTGGGTTACTCTACAACAAGCTTAGGCTGATTAGCTCATTCAATCTTCAAGACATTAAGGCCAAGTTTGGGAAGACTAAATAAGTGCACTTTTTGTCTTTTTGGACTAAAAAATTGAGATTGAAAATATGGATGTTTGGGTTAACTTTTTGACTTTTTATGGAAAAATGTGTAATAAAAATTGTAAAAATTGGTTTGTAGAGGAAAATTTGAATTGGGAGTTGTGCAGCCGTAATTGTTGACTTTTGGTGAATAGTGTTAACTTTTTAACTTTTTGAGTAACTTTTTGGCTTTTTGGCTTATTTGGGACTTCCCAAACTTAGCCTAAATTCAAGGTTAACATTAAATCAACAAATAACAAGCTTGAGCACACATGCACAAGGACACAAACACATTCATGCTTATGTATGTCGGTGGGGGCCACCATTCTAATACAAGCAACACAGTCTCAGTTTATCAAATAACATTTCATCTGATGATCTGCGATTACCTTGTCAAGAGTCTGAGTGTTAAGAACATACAATGGAGGAGCAACAACTGTAATTTTCACAGGGCAATCCTCATTGCCAGCAGCTTCACCTTTGCGCATGGCTTCCTGCAATGTCAGATGTGAAACAAAGTACAAATCAGGTAAGCATTAGCAATACCCACCACAATCTCACTAATGTTTAGAGATAAACTATCACCAAAAAATATATATATATAGAGATGAAAAGTGTGGGCAACATTAAGACCTTAATGTGAAGAACACCATCAAACTGGAAACATATCAACTCAAGGTCAGCCCGAATCTTCAATGGCTGTGCAGTCATTCTTCTCCTGATGTTTTTCACAAAAGCATCTTTGACTTCCTCTGACATAGCAGGAACCACCTTAGTGACCTATCAGATGGAAAGATCAACAGTAGGCATCATAACCAGTAGGAAGAAGGTGCCCAAAGGCCTTACTTGAACAAGGATTACCTCCTGTCCATCTGGACCAATTTCTTTGACTTCACGGTTGAGAGAATTAAGAACAGAATCAGGATCATTAACAATCAACTTGAATGCCTGCAGCCCAAAAAAGGTAAAGAAAGCAGAAAAGAAAAAAGTAGTCTAATCAGCAATTGCTAGTTGTGGAAAAAGTAATAGTTTTAAGAAGCTCTACATAATCTCACCTCAATAGCATGGCCATATTTTCGGTATAAAGGCCAGCCAACATGGATATACAGATCCTGCAATTGATAACTTGCATTCAGAAGTAGCCATGTGGAAAACATGTTGACAAATCGGACACTTTAAAATTAATTTGACATAAGCACACAACATTACAAGCAATATGTTCTTTAAAACAAAAACACAGCACAAGAAAGTTCACAAGACATAAGAAAGATGGACTTATTTAGTGGCTACAATGCTAAATAAATTCATTGAAGAAGAAAGGAGATAGATGAGGACCTCCTTATGAGCATAAAAAGTACAGTGGGGTGGCATGGAGGGAGAGATAAGTTATAAGTTATAACCATTGGAATTACAAATTGTAGCTCATTGAGCTAAAAAATGGATTAAGAGCTTTAGGAACTTTCCAAACCACCTGACTTTCTCAAACGCCATGGAATTTCAACTCAATGCTAGAAAGGCAAGCAGGAAAAAAGAGAACGGAAAAAAATAAATAAATCAAAAGACTGGGTCAAAAACATTGTATATCAGACAGACAAATCAGAAGAAAAGTATCATCCAAATCTTATAACCATGTAGGCTCAGCCAATTGCTAATCTGCTATATTTATTCAAATTACAAAATCAACACCAAAACCAGCCAAATCCAAGTGTATAGAGCAAGGCCTAGCACATGTGAAGTATACATTACATGAAACCCATACATACAAATATAATGTATTTCAGAAAAGAGGAGACATTTCTATATACTGTTGTTGTTCATAATGTTTGAAGAACCCATGTCAAACCATAGAGTAACATGCTTGTTGGCAGATGCTAGGCATATGCAACATGTACGTGTTATGAATTAAGAGTAGCGCATTTCTTGTAGGTTTTTTTTTTTTTGCTCTTTTTTATTTTGTTTTTTGACTGGCGAAAGTCAATTATTAGTTGTTGGATTAGCTCCTGAGGCAGTTGAACCACCAACCTCTACCTTTCAAGCATCTAAGGGCTACCTCCATGCCACTATTTTTTTTTTTTTTTTATAAAAAACGCAGTTGAACCACCAACCTCTACCTTTCAAGCATCTAAGGGCTACCTCCATGCCACTATTTTTTTTTTTTTTTGATAAATAACCTCCACGCCACTATTATACCAGAGTGTTCCATCAGATGCACTCAAACAAACACAACATTTAAAAATATAAAATATAAATCCATTAATTATTGCTGCAATCACTGTAATTCATTGTATATACACCGACTCTGTGTGTGTGTAGGGGCGGGTAGTGGGGAGGCAGATAGTGGTAACGAAAAAAGGGAACTTGAGCCACTATCATCAAGGTCAAAATACCAGGCTGAAATCATAGGACAGACATGCATCCGTGCTACATATAAAGCACTCTTTACCACAAAATGAATATATCAGGTTCACGGCCTTACCATATGGGTGATTCAATGCATCATGTTGGTCCCCACTCAAAATGTACAAGTGGAAACCCAATTGAATAGGAAAACTGGATTCTTAAAGATCGAGCTTTAGCACTGTTCCCCCAGCTTTACGTATGACTCATTTTAATAATACTGCTCTTTGCAAAGTAATACTTAGTTCTTTATGAACAATTGACACATAATCACAAGTGGTCACACGCCCCTAGATGAAGTCAAATGGAAACTACCACCACAACCACCTAAATGACCAATGACACCACTTGAATCCACCTTTCAATATTTACAGAAAATCAAATTGATGAAAGAATCAATTAAATTAAACTCGAAAATGTTTCTCCGTCTCCAATTTTTAAGGATAGGTTGGTTTGGAATATTCATTCATCAGATTCTTTTACTTGTAAATCCTTTCTTGATAAAATCATTGATACTTCTCATGTACCTCAGTTTCTGTTTCATAACAAGATTTGGAAGGCGTGTGCTCCTCTTAAGATGAAAATGTTCATGTGGATCTTGGTTCATGGGGGCACTCTGACAAATGATTCATTGCAAAAAAGGAGACCTTCGCGGTATCTTAATCCTCAATGGTACATCATGTGTTGTAAAAGTGGAGAATCTCTGGATCATCTCTTTTTGCATTGCTCGGTGGCTAGGTGTTTATGGCATAGGGTGTTTGGATTGGGTAATGTGATGTGGGTGGCCCCAAAAAGATGTGCTCAAATGCTATTATTTGATTATCAAGTTTTTAGAAGGTCTAAGAGGGCTAAAGTGCTTTGGAGTGGTGTTGTCTTTGCAATTTTATGGATTGTTTGGTTGGAAAGAAATGCTCATGTTTTCGAAGGAGTTGCCTGGATATAGACTAATTATGGGATAGGGTGAGATACTTGGAGTCTTTTTGGGCCTTGGCGAGCTCAGTATTCAGAAGGATTCTGCTTTTTTTGCTTGCTACCGACTGTGTTACATGGACTCGGCACTTTAGGGTGAAGTACCCGTGTCGACACGACACGACACGGGTGCGAGTGTGGGATTTGTGTCAGAATCGCTTGTTCTCTCTCGGACACAGCTCTTTACAGACAGCAAAAGAAATGAAAGAGGAGAGAGCAAGAGAGAACTTAGTCGAAGCTCTATCTAGTTGATCCAGTCGAAGCTCTATCCGGTCGATCTAGTCGAAAATTGAAGCTCCATCAGTTGATCGAACAGTTGAATAGACTAGACGACTAAACCGTATCCAAATTTGGATACATATCCATATATCCTTAATTTTTAATTTTGAAGTGTCCGACTCTTAAATACGCACCCGTACCCGATACCCATATCTAAGTCCGTGTAACATAGGCTACCGATTGGGTGTCAGTTTATTCTGTGTAGTAGTTTTGAGTTTGAAATTTTTGTATTTTCTTCTCTCTTTTTGATATTTTTTTTCATTTCTCTTCTAAGAGGATGTCTTATCAGTTGAATAGACTAGACGACTAAACCGTATCCAAATTTGGATACATATCCATATATCCTTAATTTTTAATTTTGAAGTGTCCGACTCTTAAATACGCACCCGTACCCGATACCCATATCTAAGTCCGTGTAACATAGGCTACCGATTGGGTGTCAGTTTGTTCTGTGGAGTAGTTTTGAGTTTGAAATTTTTGTATTTTCTTCTCTCTTTTTGATTTTTTTTTTCATTTCTCTTCTAAGAGGATGTCTTATCCTCTTTCTTCTTGCCCTTGAGCCTTAATATATCTTTATTTGTTGCTGATAAAAAATTTAAAAAAAAGAAAAAAAAAAGGGTACCCCAAAGCATTTCAACATAACACCTCTACAAATTGTCAATGTCACCAACCAAACACTAGTACCACCACCAATTGCACGAGCATCAACATGACACATTACCACACCATGTCACTTGCAACAAGGATTGTTTTGTAACTTGGATTCAGTACACAAATAAATTTATTAGTTTTTTAACAAAAACATGATTCCTAACCATGCTTTAGGTGGAATGGCATATAAATTTGTCTGCACACTAATTGTTTAATTTTGGATTTGATGTATATATATATATATATATATACCCATCAATTTTACCGAGAAACTATTTTCCATGAAAACAAACAGCGTCAAAAGGGAAGAAGAAAAACAAACCACGAAACTACCTCTAAATCGACGGCCATAGTTTCGGCAACGTGGCGCATGAGGGAGTGAACGAGCTTGCTCTTATTATAGCGATCCTCACAGGCGAGAATGTCCTCCTCGGCGACTCTGCGCTTGCTGAGATTGACGTAGTCTTTGTCAGGGTCGACGCTGAGGACCATGACGGGCTCGGTGCGGCCGACCTTGATGAGGCTGTTGATGCTCCGTATACGGCGGCGAGAGAGCTCTGAGAGGAGGATCATCCCTTCGATGTTGTTGTATTCCAGAAGATAGACGTAGGCGCAGAGGTCACCGATGCTCTTCACCTGCACCATCACCGCCGTGTCTACCTCCGGGTACTTGGCTTCGTACATTCTGCACTCCAAATTGGGCGGCGCGTTTACAACCCCCATTGTTTTCGCTTCTTCTGATCGTGACTCTCTCTCTCTCTGTATCTAGGGTTTCTGTTGTGGGTGAGCAGAGCGTGTTTGGAAAAGTGTCTCTGATGAGAGGACCTTGAGGAATGCAAAACACGCAACTGCACCGCCTCTTTTAATAGGGTTTTGTGAAGGGTCTCGGAGTAAAATGGGGATTTTAAAGCTTGAAAAACTTGATTTGTTCAAAAAGGTTACAACGCCCACCGTGGGGCTCGAACCCACGACCACAAGGTTAAGAGCCTTGCGCTCTACCAACTGAGCTAGACGGGCTTTACTAGAAGGGATAGATTTTTAAAGCTAATTAAAGTTAATACAATCATGTACTTTGCTTTTATTCAGATGGCCCTTTGGATAATGTTCTTGAAAATAAAACTAGGGTTTAATATCATTAAGAAAATGCGTAGTTTCTTGTAATCATTTAATGCTTGTAAATCCTGTTCTCTCTCTGGTATTATTTATGTAAAAAATAAGCGACAATTCACAAAAATTAAGTTAAAATGAGACGTTAAAAAGAGAGCAAGGTGTATATAATTATATCCTCATTTTTGAATAATTTACTTTCATTATTGAAATTCACGCCAACAAAATGTTAACGAACAATTTTATCGTTGAGCCAATCCTTTCTTGTTTTTGTGTGTTTTTTAGTTGGGTTAATTGGGGTTCGTTTGAGAAATGAGTTGATTTTTTGACTTTTTTACCTTAGGCTAAAAAGTCTCATTTGGGAAGAGTTTTTTTTGGTTTTTTTTGACTTTTTTGTGAGAAAAATAATATTATAATTATGAATTGGATGTAATATTTTATCTTATTAGGCTAAAATAACCTATTTTGTCTTATATGGCTGTATTAGCCCCAATCCATCTTCCCAAACAAGCCCTTGGTTTAGTGGGTGGGTGAGTGTTCAGTGTTGGGACACCTTGTTTTAATTGCTACGGGAATGTGTCTATATTGTTTATGGTTACACATATCTAATGAACTTGCTAAGTTTCCACCACATGATGACAAGGATTTTTCTTTTTCTTTTTTTTCTTTTTTGAGAATGAATCTGCATTTGATATCAATTAATCTACAAAATGTTTCCTTACATCAATTGCAAGGTAGTAAGCAGGTTGAACTACCTCTCTTCCTACCTTTTCTAAAACAACATAGTCAAAACCTCTACTATAGTACATAATACAGAGTACAGGGGCTGGCGGAAGCCAATACAGTAAATAAACAATGTCCAATGAGCTATGATAATCTGTATGCAAAAAGACTTTTCATTCAAATATATATACAGTCAGACAACACAGTATGCACATATATACAATCATTCAGTCAGGGACCTAATCCCTATTAAACAGTACAGTATAGTAACAAAACAGTTACAGAGACAGAAGGGAGGGAACTAAAACACCCCTAAGCCATAACTTGTCAGGCTCGAAACCTCGCATTGAGGTACATAGGTTGGCTCGACAAAACTGGAGTTACCTCGATGCTTCTAGCTGCGGTCTGGTGCCGGTACACCTACATATATATATGAACAGTGAGCTAAAGCCCAGTGAATAACACAATGCGTAAAGGGGTTAAGAATGAATGTCCTTACAGTAATGAAAACAGTTCATTAATTCAGTATATCAGTCATTCAGTCATATGTGGTACATCCATCAGCATAACAGTACCAGTAACAGCAGGTCTTAAAAGACCGAGCAGTAAATGATGGCCCTCAATCAGTAATAGTAATGGTTCCAACAAGGGAACCGACAGAAGTCTCTGTAACAGTATCAGTAAACAGTAGGTGCTAATATGCACCAATACAGTTCAGAATATAGGACATACATTCATTCAATTAACAGTATCAGTCAGAAAGCAGTACGATTCAAATTGTTCAGAAGATAATCATTTTGAACATATCTTTACACAGTTGTTACTCACAGAGTTCTGGGCTACAGTAAAGCTAGAGTGCGTCCCCAGTCGCCAACCCTACACAGTTACTGATTGAACACACACTAAGCTACATAGTTGGGAAAGATAACAACTTAATCCCTAATTTGCCTCGGTGTGGTTCTACATCTATATCCTCAATAAGATGTCTTAAACTAGGCCTAAGAATGCCTAGGATGGAATGAGGATGCAAAGATGCACTTTAAAAGCATTTTCAGACTTTTCAGAAAACAGGGGTCACGCTCGAGTGTAGGTCGCTCCGCTCGAGCAGACATGCAGACAAGGTTTCCGCTCGAGCGTAGACTTACCCGCTCGAGCGTTCTGCAAAATAGTCAAAAGTGCTGAATGGGTGAAAATCACGCTCGAATGGGCGCTCGACACCCGCTCGAGCATGAGACACAATGTCCTACTCGAGCGTCAATTATTCCACTCGAGCGGACTTCAAAACAGAACAAAATACAGGGAGCACGATTTCCACGCTCGAGCGCCAGTCACCACCCCGCTCGAGCGTGAGTCCAAATTCTGGAAATTCCAAATTTGAACCTCAAGCTCAAAACCAAGTTTTAAACCATAAATTTCGATCATCTTGGGCCAATTTTCCATAAAACACATCAAAACTCATACTTTAACATGATTCAAAGCTCAATTTGTAAAATCAAAACCCAAGGGTGTTTCAAATAAATCCAATTCAAACCAATTTCCATGAATATGAAGAACGTGCAAACATGCATGAATTAAAACCATTTCAAAGCTTCAATTTGATGCTCTAAGGAGCCAATTCTTTCAAAGACAAGGTGAAAACATGGTCTATTGTAAAAATATGAGCATGCATGTACAATTTCATGAAGGACAACTTCAAAACTTCAAAGTAAAGGCATGCATGCATGAACTAGGCTCCAATTCAACATCATGAGACCAAAACTTGACTTAAATCACTAGAGGCTCAAGAACCACGCATGAACAAGCTTAAATACAACAAGGAGAGATTGAAATTCCTTACCTAAGTCTTGAATCAGAGGTATGGAGGCTCAAGAAGGCAAATCTCTCACAATTTCTTCAAGATTCCAAGCAATTCAAGATGGATTCACTCTAACTCCCTATTCTCCCTCTCTAGTCGGCTAAACACTCAAGAATAATGGCTGAGCAAATGTTTGTAATGCAAGACTAAGCCTTAGACAAGGTTTGGTGTAGTGGCCCACTCAAATGGCAAAGTTGTAGTTAAGTCAAACTATGTAATTTCTCAATAATTAACCTAATTTAATCATACCAAATCAGTTTTCAGATAAATATTCCATAAAATCACATCAATTCTAAGGATCACAAATCATCAATTAATTTCAGATTCGGTCGCCGATAAGGCCTTTAATTCGCAATTTAAACGTAAAAACACGAATAGATAACCAAATAACCAAACAGATAGAATTACAATTAAACAGGTATACTCAGTCAATTCAGTTTCAATTTCAGTCAGTCAGTTCAGTAGTTTATTCAGTTCACTTATCAGTCATAATCAGTTTCAGTTTAACGGTAATCAGTGGTTATTCGGTAAACAGTGACGAGGGTTGTTACAGTCACCCCTGCTTAAAAAGAGTTTAGTCCTCTAAACTCGAATTACCTTCATTCTGGAAGAAAACAAGGTTCAGTGGAAACAGTTCAGGATATCTTCTAGCCATGTCATCTTCCCTCTTCCAAGTGGCATACACGCCACCATGGTTTTGCCAGTCAACTTTCACTAACGGGATCTACTTCTTGATCCGTGTGTTTACAATCTGTATAGGCCGTTCCTCGTAAGTGTAGTTATCACTCAGCACTACATGAGTAGGCTCTATTACATGGAAAGGATCCCGGAGGTAGTCCCTCAACATTGAAATGTGGAAGACGTTGTGCATATGCTCCATTTCAGGAGGAAGTGCAACTTGATACGCCACCAGATTGATTTTCTCAATAATCTCATATGGTTCGACGTATCTTGGCACTAACTTGCCTTTGACTCCAAAACGAGTCTGGCCTTTCATTGGTGTCACTTTCACAAACACGTGATCACCCACTTCATATTCTCTATCTCGTCTTCTGACATCAGCATAACTTTTCTGTCTGCTCTGTGCAGTTTTCAGTCTCTGTTGTATCAGTTTCACTTTCTCAGTTGTTTCATATACAATCTCGGGCCCAAGGAAAGGCCCATCTCCAACTTCTGCCCAGCAAATCGGAGATCTACATTTTCTGCCATACAATGCCTCGAAAGGCGCCATACCAATACTTGAATGATAGCTGTTGTTGTAGGCGAATTCAGCTAATGGCAAATGACTTTCCCAGTTTCCCTGAAAATCAAGGACACACATTCTTAGTAAATCCTCCAAAGTCTGGATGGTCCTTTCTGACTGGCCATCGGTCTGAGGATGATAAGCACTACTCAGTCTCAATTCAGTACCCAATGCAGTCTGTAAGCTTTGCCAAAATCTCGATGTGAACTTCGAATCCCTGTCAGAAACAATGGACACAGGCACTCCATGCAGTCTAACAATTTCGTTGATATAGAGTATAGCCAATTTGTCAGCATTATGAATTGTCTTAACAGGTAAGAAGTGAGCAGATTTAGTCAGTCTATCAATGATAACCCAAATTAAGTCCATACCTTTACTGGAGCGAGGCAATCCTACAATAAAATCCATGGTGATATGTTCCCATTTCCACTCCGGTATGAGTAAGGGCTGCAATAAGCCTGCAGGTCGTTGATGTTCGGCTTTAACTTGTTAGCAATGAAGACATTTCGATACAAAGTCAGCAATTTCTTTCTTCATTCCCGACCACCAGAAATTCAGTTTCAAATCTTGATACATTTTCGTATTCCCTGGATGGATAGACAATTTTAAATTGTGGCCCTCTTGCAGAACTCTTCTTTTCAATTTAGTATCATTTGGTACACGCAGTCTTTCTTGAAATTTCAGTACATTACTTTCAAATTTGAAACCCGGTCTTGGTTGAGATTCCCTTTCTTCGATGATCTTTTTCAAGAAGTCATCCTGCTGATGTTTCTCTTTAATTTCCTCAATCAATGCCAGTTGAGCAGAAATAGCAGCTATTGTTCCACATTGTTCTCGCAAAACAACTTTAATTTTAGACTTTTCAAGGTCACAAAGCAACTCTTTCTGTCCGGTGAGCAAACAGGCTAAATTCCCAATTGATTTCCGACTCAATGCGTCGGCAACGGGGTTGGCTTTT